TTACCTTCTTCTGGTGGACTGTGAATATTGGTCAACATGTGAATATCTCTTTTGTCCCTTCACACCACTGCCATTAAGTCACCCCTGGTTTGCACTCAAGTGTCACCCAATTTCATTTTCATTTTCTTGTGTCCTTTGGCATGCCCTTTCTGTTTTGTCTCTCAGTCCTGCAACAATTATTTTTTTTCTTTCTCAGGTTATCAGATAAGGCAGGAAAGAAGGAATTGTCCATGTACAGATTTTACCTCACCTTTCTACATTCCTTGCAAGTTGTGTCACTGTAGCATGTGCAGCTGTCAAGTCTTGCACTTTATGTTGTGTTTCCTTCCTCAAGTACAGTTCCATGGCATATGTGTAGCCAGTGGAGTCACCTAATTGATATATTTTCATGGCAAAACATTTGTACTCTCTTAGAATGTATTATTTGGAAACTGCTCTTCCTTTATGCAGAACAGTAACTTCGTCCACTGTCTGAAAGGGTTGTAAAATTTAAAAATGCTATTTGCATAATTTAAAATACATCTCATGGTCAGAATTTTCATTCTTCTTTTCAGTTTCACTCCTGTTATCTGAGAAGTGTGGGAATATGTCCCCTTTTATCATGTTGCTATACAAAGGTGTGTAAAACCAATCCATTATTACTCAGTAATGTGCCAGTTTGTCTCATTTTCAGTGTTCCATTTGTATTGTTATAGGCTGGAAGAGACATTCAATATTCAGTAATGTCAGATACTGGAGGTGGTCCATTTTCAAGTGCATCTAAGTAATGGCCATAGCATCAGTCTCCACCATAAGCAGTGTGATTATTTCTGCAGAAAATAACAAGCACATACTGAGCCCACCTGTATAGTCATGCACTGTGCATTTCCCAGGCCAAGATGCCAGTGTCCACATGAGCTTTCTTGCTACTGAAGTGTCTGTTGATCTGATTTATTCTCTCCTCCACTTTCGGAGACTGGGGCTGTATAGTGTTTCAGTAGTGTTGTCTGCACTTGAACACAATATGTATAGTCACTCTGTGAAGGTATTAGCTCCCATTGCAACAGTGATTGATCAGGCCCAAGTTCATAATAATGATCATCATCATCCAGTATAACTTTGTGAGGCTTTAGGAACTTACCTTCCTTTTTTTAGTCTCTACTGACTTAGTGAAAGCAATGGTTGAATTACTGACAGAAATTTTTGTTTCCCTCTTCCCACCTGCATTTAAATATTTCACAACCATAATGATCTGTCAAGAAATGTCAGCTAAGCTATTGCAAACTGTCCAGCTGAGTTCATTCTGAGAATGAAACCCAACCTATTTCACATAAACTACTCGAAGGGTGTTCCGTATATAATGCCTCCTATTTTTTTAAAGGAAACTACAACAGATACAGAAAGCATAATAACGCAGTTAAATAGAGCAAGATTTCAGCTACTTACAGTTATTTTTCCACATAATCACCACCATTCGTTATGCCCTTTTGCCAGCGATGAACAAGAACCTGTATGTAAGATCTAAAAGTTTGTGACGATGGTAAATTGTTACAATTAATATTTTGCTGGACATTATCCATCATCTTGTCTGTTCTAAAAAACAGTCTAATTTCTATTAAAAAACACAACGTTTCGGGAACTGGAATCTGTCCCCGTCTTCAGGTAAAACCTACTCAGTTGGGTCCAATAGACAGAGCTAGCCCCTATCTCCGGACAACTATGCCAATTTCCGAAGGGATTCATAAAAGAAGCACAACTCAATCCATCTGTGAGAGCTAAGAGATATTGAAGCTATCATAATTTGAGGCCTAGCACCAGAGAAAAATTTCCAGAATGAAATCATACCGGGAGAGAAGCAATACCCCTTGTGGTATACAAGCACAACAAAATCATCCGTGGGAGCTAAGAAATATTGAAGATATCATAATTTGAGTCTTAGCACCAGAGAAATATCGTGAATGAAATCAATACCGGAAGAGAAGCAATACTCCTTGTGGTACCAACATATGAAACCAAAAGTTACCCAAACCAACTACACTAGATGTCGCTGTAGTCTCTTGATTTCTGCTGTAACGACAGGGGCCCAGATGGGAGAGATATCCACACTGGGTTGACTGATTGGATGGTCCAGCAGAGACATGTGGGCTGATTCCTTGTATCTTCTATATGTGGTGTTGGGTTCGATCTGCAAGACCTTCGCTTCATTCCAAAGAATTTTGTGATCTTCCTCGTATGCATGTTGGGCCAATTTAGACTTTTCCAGCAAACCCTGTGTCATATTATAACCTGTATGCCGTGCCCGTAAAAGTGTGCGCCTGCAGAGGCTAGCCACTTTCTTACAGCTGCAATGACAGCATTGTTGTCTGGAAAATGTTGCCCATGTAGTCCATCTTTCATAGGCCCAAAGAGATGGAAGTTTGAAGGTGCTAAATCGGGGCTATAAGGTGGATGTGGTAGGACAGTCCGGTCAGACTTTAGAATGTGCACGGTGGTTGCCAAACTGGTATGGGGTCTAGCATTATCGTGTTGCAAGTGAAAGGTTGTCTGCTTCTCTGGCCCGACTTGGGAAATGCGTGCTTTCAGCTTAGTCAGCATCGTCTTGTAGCGTTCAGAATTGACAGTCTCACCAGGCTTCAGGAAATCCAAGAAAATCACACCCCGCCTATCCCAAAAGACCATGCACATCACTTTCCCTGCAGATGGCTGTGTCTTGAACTTCTTTTTTCTTGGGGAATCTGGATGTCGCCACTCATGGACTGTCTTTTGGATTCCGGCTCATAGTGGTGACACCATGTCTCATTTCTGGTGATGATGCTGTCCAGAAACTTGTCACCTTCAGCCTCAAACTGGTGCAACAGGTGCTGACAGCCTTCCATTCAATGAGTTTTGTGGTTCTGTGTAAGCATCCTTTGGGACCCACCTGGAACAAACTTTGCAATAATCCAGCTTCCCCAACATCGTTTCCAGTGCATTACAGTTGATATTAAGCCATGCACACAATTCCCTGGTCGTTATCTGCCGATCTGTACGGATGAGGCACTGTTCATTGTGAGGAGTGGCAGTTGAGCAGAGATGCTCAGGACGTGGCTTGTCGTGCACTTCACTTTTGCCACTGTTAAAACACACTACCCACCGTCTCACCATGCTGACATCCACTGTGTCATCTCCGTACACCTTTAGCAAGTGTCGATGGATGTCAATGGGTGCAATTTGTTCGGCAGTGAGAAATTCAATAACACATCTCTGTTTTGTACTCACTTCTATGTCAGACACCATTTTGGTGGACTGCTCTGCTGTAGCTATATGTTGCATGACAACCAAACTAACAGTATATTGGTGGGAAGGTTCAACCTTACTACAACACCACCAACATCCAGGTCAGACGTTACATATTAGCACAAAAAAATAGGAGGCATTATATGCAGAATGCCCTTCATACTTGCATTTGTACATGTAGGTCACAGCCATTATGAATGCCCTAGAAGATGAAAGAGAGATGTAGTAGTCTTGCCACATCATAATCTTACATTTGTTCTGAATGGTTATGATTTTAGATAACCAAGTATAAATGTAGGAGAAATTCAATTTCTTAAAATTTGTCATTATATCTGAGCTGTGTAACTACCAATTCTGTGCTATATACAGATAGTATATGCAGGAGGCAAAGTATAATGTGATGTTGATAAAGGGATATGGTGCTGACTGTCTTTACAGATCATGGGTTTGAGACTAGAACATCCAGTACAGATTTTTTTTTTGCATTGTGTCACTATCTCTCACCCCAAACCAAGTCAGAAAGTGTGTGCATGCGTGCATGTGTGCTCACATGTATATGTGTGTGTATGTGGGGGGATGAATTCCTCACAGTGGTTTGGACCTTACATAGAACTGTAGGGTCCCTTTGCCTGCTATCACCACCACCATCCTGTTTTCTGAGGCATAATGGTAATCACTCACTGGGTGCTCTTAACCATAACTGTAGATTCCTACCTTTGCCTTAGCCTAATCAGCAGAGGACAGGATATGCAAAGATCATATCTGGAGGTATAAGCTACAGACACAAGTGTCATTATATAAAAGTAATAGCAGAAATACTACTTCTTCATATAACCACTTCAAACTGTGTTACAGCTACAGTTATGAAAAGTTATGTCTGCTTCTTGTAATAATCTGGACTACTCTTACATTAAAATATTGTAACATAGAAAATACTGAAATCACTTTCCCTTCTTTGCCTGGTTTATGAGGAATCACAATTAAACTGTGTAGTAATAAGATATTTGGTAATAATAAACATAAACTAATAAGAGTTGGAGATTTATATACTTCAGCAAACAATTTTCAAGGTAAATATGAATGTCCTAATACTAATGCTGTAGAATATTTAACTCATGAGAGAAAATATTCATAAGAAATCTGACAACTCTGCAGTTTCAGCCTTAACTTTATGAATTTTGAGGATGAACTTGAAATGACTACCTCTGTTGACTTTCTTTTAGCCTTTGTTAATGTTACTTATCTTTACAGCATTCTAGATTTCCTGTAACACAACTATCAGTAAAGTATATAGCTTCCTGGTTGATGACATAGTGAGATATAGACTGATTATAGGAGTACTGTCCACATTGGCAGTGGGAATAACTACTGTGGATGACAGCTTTTATGATTTCCTTAATAGTATTCTGGGTTTAAATTCTGAGTCCTCCAAATTATGTAGATTCCTTCTGTGATATATCTGGGTCATGCAATAAAAATGACACACATTTAAATTCAAATGCATCATTTCAGCTGTCATACTTCATTCCCCCCCTGAAGGTATGACCAAATTAATGCAACTGATTAATAAAGAGTTCTCTGTGCCCTTGGAGGATACATGTTACTAGAATGATGTACTGTAATTATTAATGTGGACTTAATAAGATTTCTATACAATACGTACAACTCTTTGGTGAAATTATGGCTATGAAGCAATATAACTTACTTTAAGAAACATTCTTTAAATGAGCAATATTTATTTACAGCATCCGCCTTCACCTGATGGTGTGTTTCCTGATTCTCCAACTTGGGAATCTTCGACAGTCACACCATCACTCCGTCAGAGGAATGTGGCCTCTTTGCGACCAGAAGGTTACAGTGATGGCTCCCGTTGGGATCCATATGTCAAGATGGGAAAAAATGGAGGAAGTGGAGGATCAGGATCTGTGGCACGTAGCACACCAAACCTGACAGAGTTGGAGGGGCTGGGTGTTGGTTTGGGACCTGGAGGAGCAGATACAGGATACACTTGCCTTGGTACCTGGTCCTCTATAGGATACATCAGTATGCCAAGCAGCGAGGAGATGGGAAGTAGTGGGGGCATAGGAAATGGAGCTGGAAGTGCTGTTGGTTTGGGGTCTGGAATGAGCGCAGCTGGAGGATATTGTAGAGTTGAGCTGGATGGCAGACCAGTAGAGGGCCAGGGTCCTCGGCAGCAGCAACAGCAGATTGTTCAACCCTGCAAAGGGTATGTGAGTCTGGCCAGCATGATTGACACTTCTGCCTCCACATCAACCACACCCCATTCCAGCACCCATTCCAGTCCATGTCAGCCACCACAGCAACCTCCTGGTTCACATCTAGGGGGTTATGTTACTCATCATCCAATATGGCCTGCCGCCAAAGAGACTTCTTCAGGCAAAGGCTATGTGATGGCTGGTGAGTTGGGAAATAAAATTGCTGCTGCCTCTGGGTCACTGTTAACTCCAGAGGTGGAGGAGGAAAACCAAGGAATTCTTGGTGCAGATTTGAGCAATGGAGGGGAAGACCACCATGAAGATGAAGAATTCCACTCACCAGAGTTGTATTGTCGCTTTGGTTTACATCCTGGTATGATTCCAGTTCCAGTGCAGATACCAGTGTCTTCAAATACTGGGATGATGGAGGGAATTCTGGATCCTGAACAAGAGAGAACGCCTAAACAAGGATCAGGTTATGTGACACACTCTGATGAGCCTAGGGTTCAGGAAGCTAAGTCTTCAGGTATGATTTCAGGCTGTCACAATGATCAGAGGGTGAGTGTAAGTGGGAGTAGTGGTAGTGCAGCAAGTGGTTACGTTCCACACAGACAGTTTGAAAAGAGGGATGCTCTGGCTTTAAGCCAAACAGCATACCAAGACTACACCAAAGTGTTTCTTCCAAATACTGATGATGCATCTACCAGCACCAGTGTGTAGAGTGAGTGTTTTCTAGAATGCGTGCTTTTGATGTTGACTCTGCGAGAGCATTGTGTGTCATATTGTTTATTTTTTAACTGTGGAGAGGAAAGACGATTATACAATTCTGTTAACGCTCTTGTGTAATAAAGAGGATATGTACAATATGTCAGACTAAAAATGAATTCAGTTTATATGGGAAAATAGTCAGGAGATTCAAATATAGCAGTCACAAACATACACAGTGACATCATATTACCTAAATGGGACTTCTTTAGTAGTAATCACAAATGTGACTATCCCAGTCACACTACAGAATAAATTACTGCCTTAGTAAATTATTATTATTATTGGTTACTGATTAATTTTATGTTTCATTCTTCCTAAAGAATCCCTAATCTCCCTTCACCCAATGTAAACTCTGTTGCCAGTTCCTCCAAAAACTGTTGGAATGATGTATTGTTGGTTAAAGTACTGGAATAAATTGCTTTCCTGCGAGTTCACAATGTGTAATTCATTATTTCAGGTTCACATTTTATGTTAGAGGCATTACTTTTAATCTTGTAAGAATCTGCAATGTTGAATGTTGAAGTTTTGTATATTTACAGTTGTGACCTAAATGTAAAATAATTTTAAACACTTGTTCTGAAGGAATAATTTTTATTTTTTTACTTATTTATTTGTTTATTGTTTACATTTTTTACGAGGTTGACATTTATGAAATATTTTCACACATTTAACAGTGAATAACGAAACCATTTTTCTGTAATTGAAACTTTTCAGTGTGAGGACAATGTAATTAAAATAAAATCCCTTTTGTGTATTGTGTCATGCCTTATTATTAAAAAAATTTCAGTGAAATACAGTTTAATCAAAAACATACCTGCTCTTCTCATACTGAACAGTAAATTATTCCCTAGTACAAAGACCACTGCCTAGCAACCTTCTCCATTTACAAAGTATGGAAATTTTAAGGTTTAGTCTTCTGATTTTGACACCTTTCATTTAGTTAACAGAAATTAGAACATTAATCTTGGTCATGTCTACAACAGTTCTTCTGGTAATGAAGAAATATGGATTACTTTAGTGAAAAAACAAGACTAATTTAATATGGAGAAACTGGCAATTAGCTAAGCTGTGTTATGAAATTGTGTGTGCAGGATGGCAAAGTATTCGTTGCATATTTTAAGATATTCTAATTACACAAGAGACTAAGTCACGAAGTGCAAACTGTTTTAAAAATGAACTTTCGAGCCATGATATATCGTTACTTACGTTATTTGAGCATGTTGTTCAAGAATATGTCATTTATTAATTTCGTATCTGATATAACATGCTGTCAACATAATTTCTTCTACTAGTTTTTAGCCCTTTTTATACAAAAGGCCAATTCACAAATATACATCTTACTGCTTGAAGAGAGTGCAATGTTATATGAAAATTATGTGACTTATGACGTACATCACAATTACCTTTAAATGTATAGTATTTATAAGATCCCTTTAGAAATTGGCTTTGTCTGTTGACATGTAGTTTCTAATCCGGTGCCTGTGATCATGCCAGTCCAATCTCCAAGTGGCTTGGCTTCAGTTCTCTCAAAAATATACCTAATAGTGCAGTAGTACTGCTTTATAAGCCTCAATGTAGATACATACCAGTGGACAAGAAATGGTGTTGCTCATAATTCCTGTGCCTTTCTGCATGTGACAGTCATTCTAGCACAGGAAGGGATGGAGATGTGTGCAGTTCTTGCCATTCCTTGTCTAGATTCTTACTTGTCCCCTGTTGTGTAAATACCGGAAGATGATGGCTCTCATGGACAGATTTGTTACTGAATAAATGTGTATTTATATGCACCTTTCACTATTGTGTATGAGGTATTTCAGTATGCCCACAGTTCATAATGGCCTTCAGATTAATGTATGGTGACTGCTGAAGCTTCTAAATCAGTTAATTTTTCTCTGCCAGAATTAGTAGCTGTTGTGAAAGGCTAAGAAGCAAGATCTCTATAGTTATGGTTGTGGCCATGTTCTAGTTTCAAAATACTTAAGTATGTGATGGTGTTAAGACAATTTATAGTTTGGGAAATATTGAGAAACAGACTTCTTCTGTCATAGTCAAATCATATGACTTCACTTATACAGGTCACAAGATACAGTGTAATGTTCATTTTAGTATTAATCAAAAGAAAATGTGGCTTTGTCCAAGGACTGGTTTTCTTTGAAGAAACAACGAAATTTCAGTGATAGTTTTGTGGAGTGGAAGACATGAAGGAATGTACCTGAGAACCACTCAACATTCATCAAAGTGAAGATGCATGAATGAGAAGTTGCCAGTGGTAGTAATAGTAATAGTAGTGGCAGTTTCAAATCTGCAGCAGTAAAATTCTTAATAAATATTACTGCAAATTTCTACAGAAATAATTCATGTTAATAGCTTTTTAAAGAAAATGTGCCATCAATACTTCCCATGCACCAAAAATATTACCTTTTGGAAACTGTAAGCAAAGTGAGTGGAATTAGCTTGGTTATGGAACACTTTTGTTTGTCTTTGTTTCTTCATGTTTTTAAGGTAAAACTTAGGGTGTTTTAACAGTCTGTATTTTAATTAATTTCTTACTGTTAAGAGAGAATTTGAGAGATGAGAAGATTGCCATGTACCTTTCTGTATAAAATGTAAGAACAGTCAAACCTATTTAATACAGTGCAAGTATAATTGTAAGCATGACTGTGGTAATAACTGTTAGTAACAAATGTAAAAATGCATATAGTTTAAATTTAATTGCAATAAGTTGCATTGGAAGTACAGTAACCAGCCCTGTTTTGTGAAGTAAGTTGTGAAGAATAGACTGAGTGATGTAGGTGTGGGTAATCTGTTCGCTGCTTGCCATCATAACTTCTACAAACCACAAAAGCTGTAACATTTTACACAGTACATTGGAAGCTTCTGACATTTGTAGTAATTGGAGAGTTCTATCATGTGGCATATGAAGCCACCAAGTTCTCTGAAAAGCAAACAACATTTCAGAGGGACATGTCACGTCCATCTTCATGGACGAGTAATAAGCCAAGCAAGAAACCAGCAGAAAGCAGGTAGCAAGCAGAGTAAGCTGGTTTTGTGGCTGTCTTATTCTTCAGCCCTGAAGATGGAGGTGACATGTTCCCCTTAAACAATGATTGATTTTCAGTGGAGTACATGGTATTATATCCCAGAAGACAGAACTCTTCTTAACCACTACTGTGAGAACCTCAAATCCTACATCTCTAATAACTTGCTGTGCTTGCTTGTTTCTTTATATAATTGGATTATGGTGAGATTTTTCAAGGTCCTACAAAGAAACTGTTATAGTAACAAAGATGGAATCTTATAGTATGTGCACAAAATGTCTCATTTACATAAATCTGTACTAAAATTTGATACTAAACATACACTGAACTAATGTAAACAACTGAGTTTCACAGTAGTATGAGGACAAAATTACTGTGAAATGTATGACATTAAACATTTTAACTCCTACATCAGTGGTGAGTGGGTTGACTTGGCGATAAAGAGGTGCGTTCATTTTAGGTGAAAACTGATTTAGATAAGAATTTATGGGTATAATAGTGTCCTAAAAATGGAAATGATTTTTAATTTTATCTTTGTGGTTTGTGGTACTGTTGTTGAAGTTTGTGTTGTTTGCATGGCTGTGTCTCACATTTTTTTTTATATCTAGCAAATGTTACCATTTCTAACAAGTGACACCACTTAACCAAAACATTTGATAATTTTCTTGACAAACTTCATAACATGAAGAGGCAGGCAATAAATTCATTCGTGGGTCAGCTGATAATTTATACATATTTTGAGTCATTTTCTTTACATTCGGTTTTGTTATGATGTTAATTTAAAGTTATCGATTAATGCAGGTAACTATAATGGAAGATTTTCAGTACTGCTTTGCTTTCAATAACAGAATTTGGGTTCAGTTCTTTAACCACCTGCTTGTGCATAGGCTTTCAGTTAGCAATGTTAAAGTTTTAATGGAACTGTATAATTTACCTACTAAGAAAACTACACCATAATGTGGTTGTGGGTGGCATTCTTATCCTGTTCATGTATTGATGAAAACTTTTGCAAAATGCCTAGTAACTAATATTCTGTTATGCTAGAACCTTAAGACATGCCTCTTCTCTGTATTACTTTCCATTTAAATTTTTACAATTTTATGCACGATTTTGGAGAAATGAACAATGTCAACAGATTATCAAGTTCCTGTAGTGGAGACCAGTTTCAGTTTATCATTTCACTTTTTTTCGTTTGAACCTATCGTTTCTTCTCATTTCCTTCCTGAACATGATAATATAATACTCTGTATGATGTGCCAATCTTTGCGAAATTTAAAATATTTTACCATATTTCCGCAAAGCAGGAAGACTTATATTTCAAGTATGTTATTGGTAATGATGTGGTACCACACTTCATTCTGTGAGATTAGCCATTAAGTTTTACCTTAGCTTCTTTATCCCCTTGCCTACAATTACACATCAAACGTCACTGGAATTTCTGCTTCATATTCTGGAGGCTTTGAGTTCAAATATAAGCTCACCAGCTACTTTGACTGAGGTTCTCAGCCCCTTCAGCCAGATTCTGGGATAGTACTTGGATTAGGCCATGCCCAATTCCCACAGTCTCCTTTCCAGTCCTTTATTCACTGAGCATTATATCCTTTTATGCTATGCTGTTGAAAGGATGTTAGGTGAACTAAAAATAAGTGTATAAATATCAAAAATTCTGTAAACAGACATCTAGCCTTGTAAATGAGTGTGGGGGTGACTGACGTTGCATTTTTATATATAATGAATGACCTAGGAAAAACTGAAACTGTTGGAAATTGTGACAAAAAGGTTGATTTTTTTCCTCAAAATTTCAAGTATTATGAATGACCTAAACATGTCATTGATTTTAACAGGATTTTTAACCACAGTGAGTTCTTGCATTCACTGACCTAGAATTGGAGAAGCGTGACCTTCAGATTCTCAGAATTAAATTGGAGCAGCCATAGAATGCTTTTAATGGTTAGTCATTTTGGAGAATTAAGACTAAAATAGAATACATAAGTCATCTTTGAAAATAAACTTTCCAAGCAGCAAATTAAAACAACTATCTAAAATGTTCATATGTCAGTATTCAACATTCTGGCTGCATTAAAATTTCTGACATGTCTGTACTTCAGTCACAAGTATGTAGAGAATTGTCTTCTCTTGACTTTCTATGTTAATAGATATGTCAGGATATATGATTAAATGCTGCAAGAATTTGCATGAGTATGTTATAGATCACTGTAGGTCGCAGTGCAAGGGCCGAGAAGGCCCATCCCCTATACATTCTTTCTTCCATGTTATGGTTTTGATTGCAGACAAGCTGAGACATGGCCATTTTCTTAAGTTCATACTGACTGTCTCATATACAAGTAAATTTGTGTAACATTCAAATCCCAATGTAATTAACTATATGTGCATGCACCCCCATGCATGTGTACTAATATCTAGCAATAAACTCTTCTGTGGTAAGGTGTCGACTTAAATAGGAGTGAACATGCTGTATAAAATTTTAGCCTTCTCTCAGTATAGTTTAATACACTGAACTTTTATTTGGTATCCCATTATTTTTTTGTTTTTCGTGTAACTTATTTGTACCAGTTACATTTCTGTCAATATCAGATCCTATCTACAGGTGCTGATACCTCATGGCAACTCCTATTCATGCTCACTCTTCTTTCATTGCCATCAGTAATAGTTTCTGATACCTGATTGTTGGTGTTACAGATGAACTAAATAAGATTCGTTCAAATCATATCAAAGTTTGTTAATTTTTTAGTGGTGTCCTTAACACAGGTCCTGTATAAATTAATAAAAATATTGTAAGCATTATTTAGGTTTGACTGTATGTTTATAGCATTTTAACATTTTAAGTTTGTATAGTTTGTACTTCAGAGAAAAATAAAATTTGTAAATTGAAACACTATGTACTTTAAAAAAGTATTGTATGTGTGTTGTAGTCATGTGTCTGTTCCTCACATTTTCAAGTATGCAGCACTGAGAAAGTTAAATCTGTGTGGTGGTATGTTGTAATATTAATTTTTCTGGGACTGTAAGTTAAAGGTAAACACACAGCCACTTCCTCTGCTGTTTCTTCAAATTCACCATTACTCCTTTTGTCAGATTCCAATAGTTACATTTCTGTGTGTTAGATTCCAGTAGTTGCAGTCTGCCACTAACTAATCCATGAAATAACTAATATAATCATTAAGGCAGTTATTTTAAACTGCAGATGTATTACAACAGAGCCATTATGATTCATACTGAGAGGCCACATTGTTAGGGACTTTTATAATAAAATCCCTTGAGACACTGTCATATGACAGCTACAGTTAAATTATATTAAAATTTGATTGTACTTCAGTAACACATGCTATAGGGACAACAGACCACTCATTCTGACTTGACCCAAAGGGAGGGAAGTTTTTATCACTTGTGAGTAAAATACTGTTTTATGTATGTATATTCATAGTAGCTGACACATTGTTTCATAACATCAGTTACTGCACAATGTGTGAGTGTGAATGCTCAAGGTTTAAAATATGTATATCCATACATCACCTCTTATGTCTTCCTGGTGTAGTGTTTAGTTAACTGAGCACAGGGATAACTTTATTTTACCTGTGGTTGTGAAACGTAATTTCTTCCCCTGAGGGAAACACGAATTACAAGTATCTTTTAAAATGTGCAGAGGAAGATGAGTGGACCCAGGATAGATAAGCTGGTTGGGAATGAGGATGTTGTGTAACAAGCTTTATGTGTTGTGGGGATGTGGACCAAGTTTAACTGGTGCACATCGTACATACAAAGTTGACAGGCCATGCTGAGATTTTCTCTCTTAAATATTTTGATTATAATGCCAAACTGCTGGTCAGTTAATCAGAGTGAGATTCTTAAATTTGAAAATTTTTATACATTGATAGGATTAAAAAGTTGTATGAATTAACAAGTTGCCAAAATATCTGTTAACTCAACCAAGTGTTTGCCCAGCTTTGCCAATTTATGACTTTGGCTGCAACAAACAAGTTACAGTTTAAATTCAGCTGTTTGTACAAGGAGCTTCTTGCCTTTGTTGATGGTTCATGGCAACTGGTGCACCTCCAGCTGCAAGGTGCATACAGATTTTGCTGATTAATCAGTATGCCTGATGGCCAATAACGTTTGGAAGTAGGGGAAGTTATTAACTTTGTGGACTGCAAAATTTGTAAGCGCCTTGCAGCCGGCAGTGCATCGGTCACCTTGAAGCGCAGACTGGTGATCCGTTCAACATAGGTAAGAGCCTCCTTGTATGTATAAAAGTAAGTAAAAGAATCCCTGTAACAGGCCGTGGAGCCCCATAGGGTTGTGAGATGTTGGAGGTTCCCACATTTTCTAGAGAATCGGCTCATAGATGGCGGCAAGGTTGTAAGCCCTACGTGCCGGCCACCCTTTACCACCATGAATATTCCAAGAATATACCTGGTGCTCATTTCTGTTAGAGGCTGAGTCAATCCCAGGGCCATAGTGCGGCTGGAAAGGTTAGGTCAATTGAAAAAATCCAGTGAACTCCTCAGGACTTGAAACCGCGACTTTCTGGCTTGTAGCATAGTGCCTCATCCAACTATGCTGCTGCGTGCCCCCCCCCCCTTGTATGCATAAAGGAATGGAAATTTTCTCTTCGGTTCACGAATTTTCACCTTACACGTAGGTTTCATGAAACGAATTACCTTTGTAAATCAAGGGATACTTTTGCATGATTGGCTAATCTCACTGGCTTATCTCCCATGCCAGTCTGTAGCTGGAGGTTGAGATTAGCCACAGGCTCTTCATTACTGGTGTGTATAAGTCAACTGATATGTATTTTTCGCCTTCAAGATGTATAATCGTACACTTTAAAAGCAATGATTTACGCCAAATTCATAAAATACTTCTTCCACCCTGATTACCGATTGTCATATCAGTATACTTTGATAACACTGCAGAAGAACTCCTGCTGTAATATCGCACATGTTTTAATTTGCGTCGCTTCTATGTCATTTTTCTCTATGTAACTTTGTCAGACATAAATCAAGACGCAAAATACAGCAAATTTGTTTTGGTTATTGTGCGTTACCCAAGAGAAAATCCCTATCCTTGACTGTATGAGGAAGTGGGTTCCCCATGTGCTTAAGAAATTAAGCACTACGCCATGAAGACATATGGGGGACTGGATGTATAGATCCACATTTTCTTGCCCTCACCTCTAGCTGGGAGTGAGGGGTCAGCTTCACGCCCCGGCCGCTTTACCCCAGGGAAAGATCCCCCGGTACTCATTGGATAGGAATTGGGTGGACCCCAGAGCCGGTCTGGAAGACGTGGAGAAAATTATTGAACCTACCGAGGCTCAAACTCCGACCCCTTGATCGTCCAGCCGTTAGCCAGTCGCTACGATATTCCGACCCCACTGCTACTCCGAGTAACAAACATCATGTTTCTGGAAATTGTCCATCGTCCTGTTTTTGTCTAAAATAATTTTTTTATTGTAAACAATATTGTACACAAAAGGCCTAGGCAATGCCCATCCTGCTTTCTGTAGCACATTGTAATAAACATCTTATTCTATAATAGCGTTAACCCCGCGATTGTTAATATAGATCTTGACTTAAATCTGTGAGTATACTGTAAATAATCAGTACAATTCTTTTACTTTTCGTACGTACCTATTTTATATAAATATAGGAATGTTGTTTGTGAAGTAACAAACGTGTTGCAGAAATCTTTTCTTCCATCCTTAAGATTAACTGATTTTGGGTAATGGTTTTTGCTGTACTCAGACAAGATGCCCATCATTGTTGCCCTTTGGTCCTCGTACTGTTTACAGTCCCAGAAAATACGTTCCTCCGTTTGCAGCCCATCACCACATTAGCATTCGGCCGTGGACACAATGTTAAATCTGTTTAGGCTTACTTTAGCACTGGTGTGTCCCGCTCTCATACGGTTTGTTGACACAAAAGCGCGGCGGTTCATTTTTATCTGTCGGAACCACGGAAACGAGCCTTTCCTGTAGTAACTTTCTCCTCTGTCCCGTTTGGTGTTTTGACAAAAACTGTGAAGTTCTTTGCCTTTCTTTTTCCATTGGGTTTTAAGGTCTGCTACTGGTAATAGTAATTGGCTATCTCTGCCTTCTTTGATTGCTTGCTTTGCCTCTCATTAACTTCAACTCCACAGTGCCCCGAGATCAAGTAAAACTGGATTTTTTTCCTCGCAGTTCCAGTCTCTCTGTTTTATCTTCTAGCATATGTGTAATGTGCGATGTGCTGCTTATTATAGAGGAGTTACTAATGCATTTTAACACGCTTGCCGAGTCCGAGAAAATTATGAAGTTTTGCCCAGAGTCTATTTTTTCAATGATTTTTAGTGTTTCGGAAATTGCGAATGTGGACGCTATTTTAGATATCCTGAATTTCATGTTACGACCATCTTTTATATTTATCGATGCGAATCCTACGCATGGTTTGTCCTCCATTTTTGAGCCGTCCGTGGCGAAACATTTGCTGGTTCTCATTCTTTCTTGGAAAATCTTTAAATTACTTGTGATATGCTTCCTTTATTTGTCTTCCCTCTTCGAAAGATACCCTGGCCTCGTGGAAGAGGCTCCCGTATGTGTAGTCGAAGGCCGGGGGACAGTTCCCTGATTGGGTTATATGACCGAGAGGGGTTACCTCTTTGTAATATTCGCTGATGAGTGGTTGTTCATTTTCACCTCTCCCAGGATTGTCAACTAGAGCTGATAATTCTTCCAGCAGCTGGATCATTGGACGGTTGCTTGACGTATAACACCTGGACACATAGTTCTTTCCCAACTGTTTGAATCTACTAAAAATTGGAATTTCTTTGGCTTCTGCTAGCATTACATTGGTCGAGCTGCTACTCCTGTAGCCCAGTGCTCCGCGTATTGCCCTATATTGTATCTTCTCTAGCTTCTGTGTTGTTTCTTTTTAAGTTTATGGAATAAATACGCTCCATATTCCATCCTCGACCTTATAAATGCCTTATAGAGTCTCGTTAAAATTACAGGGTCCGCTCCCCACCAAGTGTGCTTCACACAGTTCACGATTTTCATCGGGTTTTCGCATTTCCTAACTATTGCGTTTATTTCGTCCTCCCAGTCTAGATTAGATTTTAAGTGCAGACCTACAAATTTAATTGATTTGAACGAATAAATCTTTTCCCCTTGTACCGTGTGATCTCCCACTCTCCATCAGTTGTCCCTTTTTTTATCGAAGATGCACAGTTGACATTTTTTGGTGCTATTTGCAAGCCACTTTCCGTTAAATAAAGTTCAATGCTTTGTATGCTCTTTTCCACTTCCGATACGCCAATTCTGCTACATCTGTTAACTGAATAAATTGCCACATCGTCTGCGTATTCGAGGAGTTTGCAGTTACGGTTGATTTTGGATTTCAGTCCTGCCATATAAAGTGAATATAAAGTTGGACTCAGAACACTACCCTGCGGTAAGCCTTTGTATGTCCAGTCTTTGAGATCTAGTCATCCGTAGTTTGCCTCTAATTCCCTCGCGGAGACCAGGTTAAATATAAAGGCTAACAGGTTTCCCGAGAAGCCTACTGCTTTGAGTCTATCCATCAAAGTGCCGCAGTGGACGTTGTTGTATGCGCTTTTAATGTCAAGGAATAAGGCCGATACTGTGCTCCATTCTTCAAACGCTTGTATTATTTCAGTTGTTATTAGTATTGCTAGGTTGACTGTGCAACCCTCGTTTCGCCGAAATCCATGTTGTGTTACTGAGAACCTCTGATTCTTATCTAGCCACCAGGAGATGCGCATGTTTTTCATCCGTTTTATTACTTGCACACGCATGATGCCATGGATATAGGTCTTACATTCGTCTTGTCTTTTTTTAGGGATAAAAAATAATCTGTATTTTTCCAGTCGTATGGGAACACTCTTGCTCTTAAAATATCGCAAATTTCTAGCAGAATTTCTAAAGCTTCATTTGGCAAATTGCGAATTATGGTGTGGTCTATTCCATCCCGTCCCGGGCTGGATCGGACTGTGAGGTTTTTACTTGCGAAGTGTAATACACAATTGAATTGTGTAATCTGAGTCCAGGAATGGATCCTGATTATCATGATCGGATGCCGGTGCTTGATTGGATTTATCCACACCCGAGCATAGCTTTTCAAAAGTCGTTTTGGCGGAATTAACTAGTTCTTTATATTCTTGTTCCCGTTCTGCCTTGTTTAATCTATATTTTAGTTTTTTAATTCTATCCCAAGTGTACGATGGATTCGTGAATTTATCTATTCCCTCGCAGAAAGTGTTCCAGTGCTCTTGTTTGATTTCTCTCGGTCTATTTTTTGCGACAATCGTCGCCTTTTTGTATTCCAAAAAAATGTATTTTCAGTTTTACAGCATTTCCATTTAAGCAATTTAGCTTTTCTAATTCTAATTACCTTATCGCATTCTCTGTTCCACCATATACTCTCTGGTGGTTTTTCTCTATTTCCTATTTTCCGTTGTCCTCCATTTCCGAGGTTGTTTTTGCTTTTTCTTTTAGGAGCGGTCTCTGCTAATTTTCCATTAATTATCCGGATTCAATTATCGTACCTTTCCTTTACACCCCTTTCTCTCTTCCATCCGTCATGCGTTTTGACTTCCGTGATTTTTTCTTTAACTTTTTCCATGAAGACAGTCCAATGAGTGTGTTTACTGTGCAGTCTAGAAGCCTTTTTGCTGCCTTTCCTTGGCTCTGTTTTTCCATTAGACTCGATTAGAATTGGATAATGGTCGCTATTCCAAGGGTCTGTTCCAACCTTCCAGGTGTATAACAGTGCTGATCTTGGTCCACACAAGTTAGGTCGAGGGTTGCCTTGGATCCTGTGACATCGGAGATATGTGCCGGGGAGCCGTCATTTAGCAACGTGATGTTTGTTTCCATTTCAGTGATGCAATGGTACAGTTTGCTGCCGGTTGTACAATTTTTCGAACTACCCCACGAATGATGATGCCCATTAAAGTCTCCGCCAATCAAGAATTTTCCTTTGAATTGTGTAAAAAAATTTTTTCCCACACTCTCAGCCCGATTTTTAACATGACACGATTAATATTTCATCTTGGCCCGTATATAGTTCAGTTGCACACGCTTAAATTTTTCCGTCACCATCATACAAACCATTCTTATTATACTATTTGCGAAAAGGAAATACATTGTTTTTTTCTTTTTACAGTTAGCTGTCCTTATGCTTGTCAGTGACCATGGCACCAAGGTGATCAACGAACGGTGCTGCATCGCTTATGCAGCTAATACAGAAAATAGTCCCTTTACGATTAAGCTTGTAGTATTACTGATTTTCCCACAGAAACATATATAATCCTGTTGGATAATTTACAAAATATAGAAATTTTTTACCAAGAAGTGAACAGGGTGCTAAACATAAAAATAAATATTCCTTTGAGAGGGTTGTACAATGGTGATTTCAGTAACAGCTTGAAGGGTTGAGTGTTCTGATAAAACACTAGTCAGAGAAATATTTTTAAAGCGCTGGATTAATTCGATTTAATAAAACATTCGCTGGCTAATAATTACAATAAATGTGTCAGAATGCTTAACTTAGCCAATAGGAGTGTACTATACTGAACGAGTTGGTGTAGTGGTAACGCCGCAGATTCGAATTCGGGAGGTCCTCGGTTGTATTCTCGGTCAGGAGTCTTGACATTTTCGACAAGTTCTTGTAATTCTCCTTAGTGTGTCCAGAAAATCCAGGATGGTGTATCGATTAGGCCATGACCACTTCCTTCAAGATCCTTTCTAATTCAATTATCTTGCCATCCAACGATGTGTAGCCTAGTAAACATTAGAGCATATGTAATTCGGAGAAGGTGAAGAGCTATGGACAGACGTCGATTGGGTAAGTATAATCTTTCCAGAAAATATTCCAAAGACAATTTTTATTCTTAATTGTTTATATTGTTGCCTTTTTGCTTAATGTTGCTAGCACCAATTTTCATTATTTTTAGGTTATAAATGCATGTAGTTCCTTATGGCATAAGCACTATATATTCATGATGGAAATGATTAAAATTATAGTAGGAATTTGAAAAAGGAAAAATTCCTTTTGTTCTTTCACCCATATTCAACTATTCACGTTTCAAACGGCATCTAAGGTGGTGACACATTAACTTCTTTTTTTTCAGGAAAAGAGCGTAATAGTATTTATTTCAAATCAAACTTAGATTGCATTCACATCACTAATTTGTCGCCAATGAGAAATTAGAAACGTGATAATGGCTTCGTAGCTCTGGTGTATTCACATCGTTTGCTCTTAAATATAAGAGTTCCCTGCGTGAAGGGCGGGCGCGCATATGCTAAAATGGTTCCGTGGACGCTTCACTATTATCCGCATAAGCAATTATCGTTCTTTCAGGTACCCGTAAAAATTATCATTTCACGAAGTGACTGAAGTAAGTGAAGAAGTATTTTTTTTTCTAATATACGAGGGAGAGTCAGTAAATGGGCTACAAATGGACATAAAACGTAAATTATGTGATATTCGAACCTGGAAAAAACATTTATTTCTCGACATATCCTCCAACATTGATACACTTTGCCCATTGCTTTTCCATGGCGTCGAAACCCACAGCATAGAAGTCTTTTGACTGTTGTCTCAGCCACTTCGTACTTCGTTTCACCCTCTTCGTCATGAGCGAAACGTTTACCACCTTGGTGGATTTTTAGGGGACCAAACTGATAGAAGTCACTAGGGGCCAAGTCCTGGCTGTAAAGCAGATGTTCAAAAAGTTCTCACTGTAGTTCTGGAATTACGAGTATCTTCTGGATCGCTCGGGCTGTACAGGGTCTGACATTGTCATGACGAAGCAGTGCCCCTCTTACCAGTTGGCCTGGATGTTTTCTGGAATAGCACCCCGAAGCTTCAACAGAATTTCACAGTATGACGCAGAATTCATATTTTCACCGCGCTTCTGAAAATGGGCTAACGGTACTCCCTGAGAATCCCAAGACACGGTAAGCATAACCTTCCCAGCTGATGGCGTAACTTTAAAACTTATTGGTTGAAGGTGAACTGGGATGTTTCCATTGCATTGAAGCACGCTTTCATTCGGATTGCTAGTGATTTAGCCATGATTGGTCCCCAATAACAATACTGTTAAGCATATCTTCTCCTTCATCTGCATACCGTAAGAGATATTGCATGGACAGACCTATTCGGTTTAATTTTTTCTCGGTCCTTCAGTTCTATTGATACCCAACATGCGCACACTTTTCGAAACTTCAAACGATCCTGCATTATGCTGTATGATAAACCATGGGAACACCCTAGTGCGGTTGCTACGCTGTCTGTTGTTATCCTCCTGTCAGCTCGGATCAAATCTTCCACCAGTTAAACAGTTTCTTCCGTCGCAATCTCAACAGGGCGACCTGATTGGGGATCATCTGCGACTTTCGAACGTCCCTGAGAGAATTTCTCGACCCAGTTGCTCACCATAAACAGGAAACATTTATTTATGAATATCCTGCTCATTGAGTCCTTTGGCCCAGAAAAACGCACAACAGAACGCTACTGTTCGGTAGTATACTACCGAAGTACGGTTTTCATTTTGACTACTGAAACTAGCCTCTGAACATGCGCATGAGCGTCTGCTACCCAGACTTTTTATTTTGAAAACAATATATGTATACAAAAAGACTTCGGCAATGCCTATCCGGCCCTCTGTAGCCGTTTCTTATAACATCCTTTTCCATCAGAGCGGTTACCCCGCGATTTTGAAATGTATCTCTTAACTTAACTCTAAGAATATACTATTAATATTTTGTGCGTTTAGTTCCTTTTCTTTTTTTTTTAAATAAATTTAGGAATTTTATTTATGAAGTAACAGACCCCCTGGACAAATTTTTTTTCTATCTTTAGCCTTAAGAGCTCTGTAACTTACTTTGTGTATTCTTTTTTGCTGTTATCAGACAAAATGACCATCATTGTTGCCTCTTGGTCTTCCTTTCTTATTTTGAAAAAATAAATATATGTACAAAACTGGCGTAGGCATGCCCGTCGGGCCCTCTGTAGCACATTCTTGTAAACATAAACATGAGAAAATGCTTGTCAATCAACAAGTATGTCATAACGTAGGTGTTCCTGTAGGATGTGTAGAACGGTAATGGGGCCACCACCACGCTAACGTACATGTCCCAGGTAACTTCTTAAAAAACTGTGTTGTGTAAGGCCAGTGTGACCAATCTGAAGCAGCGCAACGGCAGTCGTGATGAGATTTGGGAGGACGGCCTCACCTTCCCGGTCGATTTCACCACTGGCAGTATGCCGCCCACTGTTTAGTGCCCATTTATCATGTCACGATGACGTAAAGCATGAATACCACTACCCAAGGCTCGATTTGGTGTTGTATTCCCAGATAGAAAGGATTCTTTAGCGGACACATGGACGCCTTAGTTCCCTGTATGGGCAGGCATCCAACGAAAGTCAGCAGACTTCCATGCCTTATGGCTGTAGAATACTTGCTGCAACTTCTTCAAAACGAACGGATGGTCCGGTATGTGTCCATGGAGACACTGCAAGACACTTAGTCTACGCAGAGAATGTGACAGCCAATTCAGATGGCGTAAAGTTCGGCCGTATATGCGGCAAGAGAAAGCTGTATCTACTTCCCACTGAGCCCCAAATAAACGACCCGTCGGTATAAACCTCTGTGTATCCTGAATATGCGGAAAGAAGTTCGGCAGATTATAGTTGATAAGTAAGGGCGGAAATCATTCCTCATATTTAACGGGTATAGAATCACAGGTCGGACGTATGATAGACCAAAGTGGCAAAGAAGAGAATCCAATGGGAATAAAAAGCGGCAGTCGGATGTCGAGACACTTGAGAAGCTTAAGAACATGGTGAAATGGTAAACCCACAATTCGAGGTGACCCGATATTCAGTTCGTATTTGTCGGTGTTGGTAGGACGAAAGACCGCACTCTAAGGGGTGTTTCGTGGTTATCCTCAGTTTATCCACGCAAATTCCAGAATAGGATCATAAATTATGCCACTACAGCATCCGTCCACCTCCATTCAGTTTTTTAAAACTAATAATTTTACTATTCTATGCTATATACTCTTAACTAAAGAAGTCGTTCAATAAATCACGAATAAATATAATAAAAGAAAATAAACGAAGTGAAGCAGGATTTATACACGTCACCTGGTATTCCTTAGGATAATGAGAAGTAGAAGTTTTATGACTGACTAAACTTATACCGTTAACTCACCTGAAAGAAACAATGTATAAGTTGTAGCCGAACCTCTCACCTCTCAGTCGCCACTTCCTTCAGGGTTATTAGGATTGATATTAAAGGAAATTAATTATAAGCGATGGGCGCCAATGAGATATATATTCCTATAAATATGATTAAGGGTAGGTAAACGAAATCTGATTGGGCGGTCTAGAGAGACAGGTAAACATGAAAATCCCACGGGTGTTGAGGCCAAAATTACCAGCGTCAGTGGTACCGAGACTGATTTGTTCGCCGTTAGGAGTAAAAAAGTAAAAGTAAAGCTATCCCTGTACCAGGCCGTGAAGGCCCATAGGGTTGTGAGACGTTCATTATCTAGACAATCGGCTCAAAGATGGCGGTAAGGTCGTCAGCTTTACGCGCCGGCCCCGCTTTACTCCCCAAGAAAATTATTTAATTAATTCCTGGCACTCATTTAAGTTAGAGGCTGAGGCAACACCAGAGCCATAGTGCTGCTGGAAGGATTAGGTCAATTGAAAAAAATCCAATGACCTCATCGGGACTTGAACCCGCGACCTTCCGGCTTGTAGCATAGCCCCTCAACCAACTACGCTACCGCGTGCCCCCGTTCGCCGCGAGGAGGCACCACGAAACACTTGATGAAATGAGGGAAGAAAGTGAATTATGATCCTTAAGTTCATTTTGAAAATTTAATATAGAAATTTTGTGGTGGAGAACAGCACACGTGTTCTTTGGTCCAAGAGGTGAGGCTGCGTGATCTTCAGCTTCGGGAGCTAGCATTTCGAAAACAACGCTACAAACAAAATGCGTTGTTTTTCAGAAAATACGAAATTCTCTCAACTGATAGGCTTCATTCAAACTGGGCAACTTCGTCATAATTGTCTTCATACAAATTATTGGCTGGTACTTACAGATTCTCTTTCAACGCCTACAAATCATTCATTTTAGGGCGTATCACCCTCGAACTTCGAGTTCGAAAACTTAAGGATGTACAGAGCTGACAAGAAGGTGGAAAACTGGCGCCTTGAAATCTGGAAATTTCAATTGAAACATAGCATTACCAGAGCAAGACAAAGCAATATATCATAATTAAAGTCACAATGGTGACTTACATAATGGCCGAATATCTATATAAATACAAAATGTATAAACCAGTAAAATCAAAACAATTATAAATTTATGCCCAGTAATTATTTTAATAAAATTATTTAAAGCGGTCAGAAAGAAAATGGCGACAACGTGCAGTATTTCAATGGGGAACCTATAACGAAAAGTCGAGCAGTTGGATAATCGATAAAGGCATCGGAAGACAGCATCACTCTCGCGAGGCGAGGATTTTCACTGGAATGAACTTCCTCTGGTTCATGTTTAATAATGGGTTGAATCTTCGAATTCGATAACCAGAGAGTTAATTAGATCCTTAGTTCGTTCTTTGGCATGTTAGGGAAATATTTGGCTTTTGGCCGAACACAGTCGACGAGCTGTCTAACGCGTGATATGTCTCCGCCCCCTCAAACACTGGGATCGTGGGTTCGAATTCCAGTTTAGGCATTTATCTGTTATGTTTTCCTGTGTAAGTAGCGGCCTTGCAACGGGTTGATCACCTGTTCAAGGAGTCCTACCGACTTTCTAGACGATTCAGATTTCAAAATTAATTTATTCTGAACGGGCAGAGACCAGAGAGCCTAATCCGTCAAGGAGAAGAAGAAGAAGAAGAAGAAAAAGTTTCCCATATGTACAATTTCATTGTATAAAAATCATTTCAGTATTTTCGATTTTGTTATGGTAATAAGCCAGCCGCCAACTTAATAGTCACATTTGTGAATTTAAACAGCGGGACACCTGTGGTCATGGTGCTGTCTGCTGATCACCATGAGAATTTGATTTTCATGCCATCATTCGGACTAGGTACAATATATTGTCGGAAGGTATGTCAAGGTTATGTTTTATTACGGTCTGCTGACATAAACAAACAGTAAAAATGATGAAGAAAGCAGTCTTCTGGGATGTGGCACCGTGTAGAAGGAAGAAGAGACCGTGATAACCGGTAAAAGCAGACTGCAGACCGGTCCTCACGGTCTCGTTGCTTGCGGATTTTCTTATTTTTCCTTCTACCTTGAAGATGGAGGCGATACGTTCCTCCGAAACGTCGGTTAACACCACATCTACACGATGCCACATCCCAGAAGACTGCTTTCTTCAAAGTCACCGTCGTGAAAACCTCAAATCTTACACAGTAAAAATCATCATTACTAAATCGCCCTTAACATGAACAAAAGATACGTGATGGGCGCACTTGATGGCCTGAGCAAAGACGCTTGATATCAGATGTGCTGTTTGACAAATAAATATATGTTTTGGGCTCTGCTTCCGTTCGCTTGTGTACCTCTTTTTGCGGAGACGTAGCCATAATTCCCTTGAAAGAATTGGCCTGCTTCAGCACAATGTAATAATTATTTAAAAAACAGGCATCAATTATTTGAGACTTTTTAATTTAAACAATGTTTATAAAATAATTTGGGCACGCGGTAGCGTAGTGGTTAAGGGACTATGCTACAAGTCGGAAGGTCGCGGGTTCAAATACCGAGGAGTTCATTGGATTTATTTCAATTGACCTAATCCTTCCGGCCGCACTATGGCCCTAGGGTTCACTCAGCCTCTAACAGAAATGAGCACCAGGTATATTCTTGGAATATTCATGGTGGTAAAGGGTGGGTAAAGGGCTGACAACCATACCGCCATCTTTGAGCCAATTGTCTAGATAATATGGGACCCTCAAAGTCTCACAACCCTATGGGCCTTCACGGCCTGGTACAGGGATAGCTTTATTTTACTTTTACTTTACTTCATATAATACTTTCCCAATATGAGAATACATACATGCGGTACCTTTGCATGAAGAAAACCTCGAGTATAGCTGTGATCAGTTGTTTCGCGGGTATAAAATATCGTACATATAGAATTCAGAATATATAATTATTTAACAGTGCCAGGTCAACTGTATCTATTGGTCACTTGGGAAAACAAATTAAAGTTTAACTTCCTGTTGAGGTAATTACTGGACCGCAATTTAATGTGCTAAACAGCTGTTTGAAGAAATATCTCTTTGCAATAATATCAAAGCAACTTCCACAGACCCAATTAGCTTAAGCTCTGTTGGACGAGCGGCTTTCATTTAAGAGGTTGCTAAAAAAAAGGTAAAATTAAGAAAATTCTGTCCACTATCTATACTTTTCTGGGAACTGGGAAAAGACCGCCATTGTTCGATTGCAGTGGCGGAACAACTCGGCAGTTTGGGAACCACTGATAGAGACTGCTAAGAAACGCTGTAAATCTTGAACTGGCCAGAATGATGTAAGTTAGGGTCATGGCAAGCAGATAATGATGAAACGTAATGTGCTTACCTCACATACCAAGAACTATCCTTCCCCTGTTGACGCCAATTCAATGTGTTGGGACTGATACGAGGCACGGTTCGTAGAATAGTGTCAGACGGCTTCCAAGAAAGATGACAGTTCTGTTGAAAACCGTCAAGCCATGACATCGGCCTCCCTACAACCAAAGAGACTGTCATTAACCGACCACTGCAGATGGTCTCTGCATGTTTCAAGCTATTAAAGAAGGTTTTCTCGTGGTTCTTCAATGTTGCTTTTTTGATCAAGTCATCCATCCGTCCACAAATTCCCAACAACATACGCGTTGATGATATTGTTTATAGACCGGGATTGATTCTTGTCAGCAACAGACTGTCATTCTTTCACTATCACGTTCATACCCTATATAGATCACACTCTGCCACCGGCCTTCGCGCTCCATTGGGTTTCACTCCTGTTTCGTGCCTCGGAGATCGTGGGTTCCAATTTCGGCCCAGAGACCGGTTACCCTAACAGACTTCAGTGGTTCTCTTCAATCCTTCCAGGAAAATGTCGAAATAAGACTTTAAATTAGGTTACTACCGGCTACTCACATCTTTTTCAATTAATTATTCACAAATCATCGTATCATTAGACGCTACAATTTTATCAGTCAGATGAACAAACACAAATAAATAAATGAAACATTTTCAGCCACCTATGCAATTGGTTCAGTGGTTCTTTCCCTAGAGCAAAATATATCCACACCCTTAGCCATTTTTATGACGTGGTGTTAGACCTTTTAACCAAATTAATATTGATAAAATCAGTGATCACTGCATTTCTAAATAATGTACCAATCATACTTGTTCTTTGAAACTTTCTAAAGGAAATGATGGATACAGTGTACATGATTGGCTTAGATATGGCGAATTATTGAGGCGCGAATAATAGCTTCTGGACTCGGTAGAAGAATTCCAGCGGAATCAACCCATTCTCTCTGTAAAAGCGTAAGAGTGAAAATTAGACCGTATCAGCAACGTGACCCTATGTGGACTTGTTTAAGCGGAAGATGAAGACATCAGTAGATTCAGTGTTAACGAAGGAGCGGAGGAAGGGCGTTATGTTGTCTATCACTGCCTCAAGTGCCTATGATTACGTTTAAGTTTTAAATATCGTTAAAAAGAAAATTGTGGAAACATTTGTCTTTCACTAAGAATCCCAGTTGTAGTATTAAAATGTAATTTCTGTCCAGGCTCTTGAACCCTCATTTCCTTCGTTGGCAAGCGAAATTTCCTAGATTTATTTTTACTTTTGACAACGTTTGAGGTGCTAACATTACGCTCGTTCCTCCGTGTAAATCAGGTCCAGTCAATTGTAAATCAGTTGATGACCGTACTCATCATCACCCCTTCATGGACTAGACGGAGCGCCTGTTTCCGCCTTTAATATTGTTGCTATCCTTCCACCTTCATGGTCTCCCTACGTCTGATCTGCCAGACGGACACGATTTATGGACTTCAAGGGGAATGCTAGCCTGCCCCATCCTCTGCAAATATATTTTCTTTTGTCTCTATATTCCATAACTTTTCCATATAAAGAGAAGATACCCAACTCACTTCTTATAACATCATTTTAATTGACCTGTCCTATCGCAATTTCGACAATTCTTGCGCTCTTTATTCCTGCCGCATGAACTCCTATTGCAGCCTGTTCTTTATCTTTCATGTTTCGCTACCGTACAAAAGCAATGGGACCTCAATAATATTATAGAATTTTAAATTTGTCTTTTTCCTTCTTTCTGTTTTTAACATTCTTGAAATTGATTTGAAATTTATTTATTTTGTTATTTAAATCTACGTCCTAGTTATATGAAATATTACAGTGCAAACAGTTGCAGTCGGAAACTTTGTCTATAACTGTATTATTGTCTCAAGTTATTTTTGATCGAATTAGATGTTTTCCTCGAAAAGTCACAAGTTTTCTTTTTATAGTATAAATTTTAAAATTGAAAATACCTTGTAATTTGTAGGTCATAGTGCTTCTCTAAAAATTATTTTAACATTCTTATAATATTGCCGTGTCATCAGGAAAGTGCACCACGCTAACTATAACATTATTAGTTAAATTAACGCTTAAATTTATTTTGTTTTAGTTCTCTTAAAATTTCGTCCATGTGTATAAAGGGTGAAACGAAATCTGAGCACAAGATCTCTAGAGTGATTCCTTCTTAAAACTCAAGTCGAGATGTTATAAAACCTGAATCCTAATACATTTACTTTTCGAGATACACGCTCCGTCAAATTAAATGGGGTGACATATTTCTCATCAGTGTAAAAGATTATTGACGCCGTCCATTGGGATTGATAAATGTTTTTCTCTTTTTTAATCTTTCATCCTTGGCATGTTTCGGTCGGAGCGACCATCTTCAGGAGGACGTAACAATACGTGCGGAAACTACCATTACAATGTCATTCTTCATTATCAATACATACAGACACTAATATTACAATGTCATGAATACAAAATATTAGCCTTTAACAATTACAGCGATGTGCATGAAAAGAGAAGCAGTATAAAGGACATGAACCCATGCTTGTAAATAGACTAAATAATTTATAAATATTTTAATAAATTCATGCACATCGCCGTAATTTTTAAAGGCTAATATTTTATATTCAGGACATTGTAATAATAGTGTCTGTATGTATTGATAATGACCAATGACATTGTAATGGTAGTTTCCGCATGCATTGATACGTCCTCCTGAAGATGGTCGCTCCAACCGAAACATGTCAAGGATGAAAGATTAAAGAAAAAAATAGAAAAACATTTATCAATCACACTGGACGACGTTAATAATCTTTTATACTCTTATTAGTGTGACGGTCCAGGATGAACGAAGTCAAGATTTCTCAGCAGTGTTATTTGTCGCGGCGATATGTAGCGCGTTGTTAGGTGTACCCAAGACACACATTGCATAGCAAGGATTAGTTATGCTCGAAAGATCACGGAATATTCACACAACGAATACAGCGACATGCTTTTAATTCTCGGTACCTATAATAGTCGATCTGGTACTGTTGCAGGGGAATTCTAGTCTATGTCATCCAGACGCTAATATGTTTCGACGATTTGAACAAGAAGCGTTCGTGACACAGGGAACGTAATACCAACGACACACGTGAATGCGGGTAGCCCACGGACTGTACGGACACCAGATAATGAGGATACCATTACTGCAACTGTGGAATAAAAGTGGTGGAAAAGCTCAAGCGACATCGCACGAGAATTGGGACTATACCAACGGGGGGTCCTCGGAGCACTTGAAGACGATCAAGTGCAGCCATGCCACTATTCCCAGATGATCACTCTCTTTACGGCTGCAAGTTCGCAGATGAGCTCTTTATATATATATATATATATATATCATACTGTGGACAGACGAAGCGTGTTTTACGCGTGACAGTGTGTTGGACGTCCACAACAGTCACCTCTAGACACGGAATAATCCTCATGCTTTTCGCGAAAATGTGTGTCAAGCCTGTTTCAGCACCAGCTTTTGGAGACGTCGTGGGCCCCTCTCTGCTACTTCACAGGCTGACTGAACAACGATATAATTACTTTCCAGGAACTATTTTACTGGGTCTGCTTGAAGATGTGCTTGAATCTGTGAGGCAGGGATTGTGGTTTCAACGCGACATTTCCTGCAGTGGCTGAACGCGACATAACCAGGAAAGGTGGACTGGACGTCGAGGGCCGATTGCATAGTCTTCTTGGTCGCCGGATCTAACTCCAATGGATTTATTTTTCCTGCGGCGAAGAAGCACGTCTGTGCAGTCCCTCTAACCTAACCTAACCTAACCTAACTATCGAAGCCATCGAAGATCTCGTGGTAAGATTTCAAGAAGCTTGGACAACGGTCGATGCCAACATGTTACGGCGTGTTCGAGAGATTGCCGTAGGGTACAGTTCCGTCTACCTTCAAATGGACGGATGCAGCTTGGAACACCTACTGTAATTACGAGGCGCCTGTAGCTTGATCATCGACACCTTGCGCTATTTGACGGTTCCCTATATTTTGAAACCTAGTGTCACAGACATAAGTTGTACAATATTCTCGACTTTTGTTTCAAAAAGTAATCACACTATGGAGAGCTTGTGCTCGAATTTCTTTTCTGAATATATATACAGTATATGTATTGAGGTGGGCAGATCATGTAGCACGAATGGGGGGAGACGAGGAATGCCTATAGGATATTGGTGGGAAAGCCAGAAGGAAAGAGACCACAGGAAAGATCAAGGCGTCGGTGGGTGGACTGTATTAGAATGGATCTTAGAGAGATAGGGTGGGATGGTATGGATTGGATAGATCTGGCTCAGTGGAGGGCTCTTGTGAACACGGTAATGAACCTTCGGGTTCCATAAAACATGCTGGGAAATTCTTGAGTAGCTGCTGAATTGGCGGCTCCTCCAGAAGGGCTCAGCTCCATGAGTAAGTAAGTAAGTACCTAGGTAAATATATATGTATGTATATATTAAATAGCAGGGGGCTTAGATTGTATTCCTGTATCATTCCGTGATTAATAAAAATTTCTTGTGAAACTCGTTCATCACCTAATTCTGTGCTTATTTTGGTTCCATTTTATGTATTTTTCAGAATGTGTATTAAATCCTTAGGCTACCCAATTTTAACCATAATCTCCAAGAGCCTGCCTGTGTTCGCCGCATTGTATCAATGTACAATAAATCCACCTCGATTCTTGTGCTCAACTTAACTGCTTTAGCGTTCTCAGTTATCAGTGTGCAAATAAAAAATGGATACATCTTTCTGATACAAATCTATTCGTAGATACAGGAAAGACTGCCTACAATAACAGATTACATTTTAAACACTTTCAGGGAATTGTCTTGTGACTCTTTACCTCTTTCTTCAACAAGGATTCCAAAGTAATAAGTACTTGGAAATCTCATATTCTGTCGGTATTTAATCTACGGTTCCGTCTGACGCAGAGAATATAAGAAGTTCTGGCACAAATAACCTAATGAATGCTAGTTCCCTTTTCTTTCCTACAAATAACCCCACTGTCAGCATTATTTAAGCATTATGTTGCCAGCTGCACTAATAGGTATTTCGACAGTCAAGAACAAGATTGACTAGCAAATTCATATCTCAAACAATTCTGGTCTAGTATTATT